CAAAACTAACATCAAAAGGTTACAGATAGAGACAAAAAAGTGATTAACTTAATTTTGAAAAAAACAACAGTTCTATAGAGAGTAAATCAAGCATTTATCAGACATTCTTCCCCCGGATATTACACGTATATTGAAGCCGAGATGGCAGTCAATACACTAAGGAATGACCCGAAATAAGCAATAACTTGGTAGGGCATCCAGCGAGGCTACAACGAGATAAAACAAACTAATAATGACATCTGATAATAATATGGTATTGTTTCCTTATAATATACACAAAGAAAACCAGTTGGCTAGTTTTAATTTTTTTTTTTTAAACTGGAATTAAAAAGGACAGGAAAAAGAAGGCAATGATTAATTTGGCATTTGCAAAAACTTTATTATGCTCTTGTACTTCTTGTCTTTATTCCACACCCCTAGTTGTATAGTGGCACGGTAAGGGGCTACTTGTAGCTACAGAGTATACGCAGGTGGCCACAAAAACGAAACCACCACTCCCCATGACAGTGACCCTTGCTTTGGATAAATAAATAAATGAGGATCCTACAGACAGACTCCCTGTCTTACTGTCTGAGAAATATTATGTTTTCTGACGCAGCTGCAGGAGAAGCTATAGCATAATCTTTTGCGAAACTAAAACACTGCTGGTATACCGTTTTTTTTTTTAAATGATGGAGCATTATTACATGTGTGCTGTTAAAGGAGGGTTAAGGTTTGTGCCAGTGTGTCGAGTCTGTCTTAAAACAATAGTCAGGTACCCATACATACAGTAAAACAGTCATCAAAATACAAATAGATTTTAGGGTAAATTGGAACTTGAACATATCTAATTTAAATGAGCCGTACGATGCTCAGAATATCTAAGATGTGTGTGTGGGTGTTTGACTGAAGAGGGAGTGGTCCAGCTGTTTTTTCTCTCGGGTGGGGTTGTTTGGTGGAGTGAGTAGACACTAGTGCTCTTTGTCCCCTCTCTAGCCTGGTGTGACTCCTGGAGAGGGGAGCTTCGTAAAGTGTTGGTATGTTAAAGTGGCCGAGGCGAGAAGAGTGTCTGTTGATGGAACTGCTTGGCTTGGATACTCTGTGAAAGCTCTTCAACTTATCTCAACAGCAGTGTGGTCACAGATAATTAAAAGTCTTTCCTTAATATATTTCCAAAAGCTATCATTTTATGCCAAGGTATTTTCCAAAGCAATATTTTGTTATAATACATGTGATATTCTTAAGTATTTGGTTGAATGTTAAAGTAATCATTTTTAAAGTTAAATGTACTTTCATAAGCTTGGTTGACCCAGTTTTTTCCTAATATAACATGCAACTCACACACCTTGTTGTGTATCAAGCTAATATACTCACCTTTCAAAAGACGGAACCATGCTTCCACCTTGTGGACAGTTTGATGCATTACATTAAGAATTAAATGAAGACGTTGACCATCTGACTAAACAGCATGTGACAAATTAAAAATAAAATATTAAAATAATTGTAAGATGTTATTTACCTTGAGGCTAACTGATGCCTTAAATCATCTCTGTCATAGGGCTGTTGGGAATAATGGCCCTCCTAAAAAAACAAATATCACATTTAAAACAAACTTAAAGGGTCCCTATGAAAGCATTTGTGGAAGCAGGTCACTATCGTGTTTATCTTGAAAATGCGAAGGAGGATGTATATCCATGTTAGCATGCAAGTTACTTAGTAAACCTTCATGTTAAGTGGTATCTGACGATTACACTGATCAGCAATAAGCATAAATACATTATTAGGCAATAGGCACTAATGCCCAAATACAGTACATGCTACAATGCGCCATCAAAGCAGTGAAAAAGATGTGTGCTCGTTAACATGGATGTTAAAAACGCTTAAAACATTTTTTTTTAATCCACTTTAAAAAGGTTATAAGACGTGTAAAAGAAAAAGGACATTTGGTTTTTGTGAGTAATATTGAATGTCAAAATAACTTTGTTAAAACCTGAAACAAAAAACAGATGTAATTCTTTAAACCTTTAAACCATACCAACTTTTACTTACATTTCTTGGAGGTGAGGCATTTCTGCGATAATGGTTGTTGTTTGAATTATTATCAAAATATCGACGATCATTCGGTGGGTAACCGTCATGGCCTTGAAATTCTCTTGAGTCCTGGTAATTCCGAGGACCATCATTCCACATTGAAAAATTTGAACTTTTAGAACCATAGTTCACATTTGTCCGAGGCATGGAGTTCCCCTTTTCCACAATATTGACAACTCGATGGACTGTCACCTGAAATAAAACAATAGTTTATATTACATCAAATATATCCGCTCTTTAAGCATGCTTGCAAGTACCTATGTTTCAAACCAGAAATGAACCTATTCCTAAGATGCCAATTAATGTTGCATTGTGCAAAATTTGATTAAAAAGAGCAGAAAAACAGCATTTAAAGATCAGGATGCAACAACAATATCCCCCAAATATAGAGGGACCAACAAAAGAAGAAAGGTAAATTAATACTGAATACTACCATAAATAAATGTCATGGTCATAAAAAGCTAAACACATGATTGCGATGTAAATACAGTAAACTAAATCAGTTCTCTGCACTTATTAGTTCAATTAATACATTTGGATACAGAAAACAACATCTCCCCTTACCTCTCTCGAATCCGCTCCTAAAATGCACTCTTCATATTTCTCTCTAAGTGGATTTCGGCCATTGCGAAATGCCACTGCAAAGGAAAAAAAAGTGTTTGTCCATCAGTCAGATCATTAGTTCAAACTTCAGCTATCAAGTAAAGTATGTTATTTAATAAATATGCAGTGAAAAATGTGGCTTCGTCATCACAAAATCCTGTTTTTTTTTCTTAGGCTTGGCATAGATAGTTATTCATATTTAGAATGCATTGTCAGGAAGTATTTTTTAACCAAGGTGAGGACTCATATCATCAGCTTGAGTCTGCATAAGACACAGAGTGGTCAATTTTTGTGATGCTCATCTCATGTTCATTTCACTAAATGGTTTCCACACTAAAAGTCCATATTGCAAATAGGTTTCCTGAGATTCTGACTGGCTGTAATTACTGGGGAAATTATCCTACATCAAACCAGAAGAAAAAAGGTGAAGAAGCCGGGGTCTGCAGACATAGATGATAATTAATTGATCGTCCCAAGCATTGTCATCTTAAGACACTGGAAAGTGTGCAAAGTGAAAAGCCTAACACTGGTAGGCTTATATTAACTTGCTCAGGTATGTATACTTGACATTTCCACATGTTGAGAAAAGTGGTACAGCCCAGTTTTAGGTGGCAGTCTCTCTAAAAGACCATTTATTACATTGATATTCTATTTTGTTTGTATTTACCAGTACTATGTTATCTGTTTATTGTGTTGCACCTTTGGAGCAGCCTGTGACCTAACATTTTCATTGACATATCTACACTGTAGCTATGTAAGAATGAAAATAAAAGCCTTGAATCTTGCTATGCTTGTAACACATGCAAAGTGCTGTTTTGTTTTTGTACTTACTGATTTGGTCTGCTGTCTGGTATTCACAATATGTCACAGTAGAGAATGATGGACCTTGAAGAAGGGAAAGGGTAGAGTGTTATTAAGCTGGTATATTTGTTTTGAACATATAACCAAACACACACACACACACACACACACACACACACACACACACACACACACACACACACACACACACACACACACACACACACACACACACACACACACACACACACGATAACATCAAACCCACTTCCACTTCTCCAACACAACGATAATTCTACCAAAGCCTTCTGACATTCACTTTGCATCAAGTAACACCCTTCTTTCAAATAGTTGATGTATTACAGTGTATGTATACTTAAATGGCATCTGCTGGGGACAACGTTACAACAATTCACCACTACACACTATCTTTTAAAGTAAAGATAAAATAAGTGTGATCCAAACATCGAAATTCCGATAGGGGAAGTGGACATCATTAGACACCGCATAATAAAGCAATTGCAGCGAGTGATTGAGATGGTTTAACTAACTGAAATGCATGTCCTGTATCACGAAGCTCCACAGAATTAAAGTAGCACTGTTCGAGCACAGATGTAGCTGATAGCATCACAGCACAAGAGGAAATCGCTAAAAGATCACCCACCTGTTAATGATCGTAATACTCCTGGTCACCAAAGTACGTTTTACATAATTATCCTATTGGTAAAAAAAAAATTAATCTTAATAAGTTACCCGACAATCGAATTGTTTTCTTCTTGGATCTGCAAAGGAGAACCCAAACAAACCCCTAGCATGGACGCTCTTCTTTGCTGAATGACCACTTCCGGAAAACAGTGCGCTGCTGCCTTCTGGTGGCGACCGGTGGTAATGTGTCTAACTATGGCTGCTCAGTGAATAAAGTAAAATCAAAAGTACAAAATGTTCATTAAAAATGTAGAGTATAAAGGCAAGGGTTTAAAGTAAATATAATCTAATACCCTTCATGCAAGCACAATTATTATGCATTACCTTTTCACCATGTTCTTACATTGTGTTTACCTAGTAGTTTTGTGTACATAACACGCATAAAAATGTATTAGAACAAAATGTAGGACTTTGTTTTAAAAATAAAAAACATATTAAGTCAACTCCTCAAACATAAAAAGTCCACAGATCTCTGTTAATATGCCATTTTATTGAACATAAAAGTAATACATAGTATTATTTTACTTCCCCATTCCTCAATGGAACATGTCTACGTCCGCACGCTCTCATTTTACCATGAACAATTTGACAAAGCGCCCTTCATCAATGTTGTGTCACATTTATTACAGCGTCTGTTGTGATTACATTAACTGTGATTGGGTGAACCGGCGTCACGTGACTGTCCTCGACAGGAGTTTCTACGACATCTGAGTAGCAGCTAAATGCGTTTTTTCACCTGTAACATTGACGTGTTTTAACTCCCGTGAGTCGAAGTTACGTAAGATGGGAGACAAGAAGAGCCCCACAAGGTAAAACTGCTGCTAGTGTCTTTAGATGAAGACTTTATCGGGCCGTTTGAGGGCAGAAAGCTCGGTCAATGGATGAAGCTGCTTTACTGAAGTGCTCATGGCGGATGGCTGCTGGTTTGGTATGGGGGAAAACTGCCTGTGTGAACTGAAAGCTCCCCTTTTCTCTGTGACTGACTTGTGAGCAGAAAATAACTTTAGAGTCGTGTATTTCTTGTTTCGGTAATCTTTGTCTTTCTTTGAAAATGTGACGTTATCACAGTGTTTTTGTTTTGTTTTTGTTTGAAGGCCAAAGCGGCAACCTAAGCCCTCCGCAGATGACAATTACTGGGACTGTAGCGTCTGCACGTTCAAGAACACCGCTGAGGAGTTCAAGTGCATGATTTGTGATGTGCGGAAGGGGACGTCCACTCGGTAAGAATAACTCTGGCAGTCTGGCTTTGTATTTTTGCAACAATCAGAGCAATGCAAAACTACTTTAATGCATGATTTAAAAAAAAAAAAAAAATACAATCAGCTATCTAACATCCATGCATAAATGTTATCTGTATAAAGGGTTTAATGCTCAGTGTTTGTTGAAAAGGGAGATAGATAGAGGTTGATTGAACTTTATGGAAACAATTGTATGTAGTTTTGGGTTATGGCCTTATGTCTTTAGCATTTTGTGGGGGATGTTTTAGCAATTTTTACAACTTCTTAATGAAAACCAAAATAAACAAAGAATGCAGAGTTTCCACGATATAGTTATATTCCTGTTAGTGGCAAGACATCTATTTAAACTTTAAAATGTAGAACTTTGTGTGGGTGAAAATGCAGAAAATACAGCTCAACACAACCAAAGATATAGATTTTGGATGTCTTGTCAAAATTGACAGTTGTTGCAAAGAATTGTACTCAGGACCTCAGTATTTTACCATGATTTGTGTGCTGTTAAATTGTATTGCATTATCCTGAGATGTTATTATTATCTTGTCCACACTATTTATGTCATTCGGGGGAGGGTAGACTACTTAAAAATAACGCATTGTAATCGACAGCATCACAATCCCCAGCCTCCAAAATGACAATCAACACCTCTTTAAAAACACAACCAAACTTATAAACATTAATAAATGTATGGTTTATTTTAGGCATGTTGTAGACTAAATTAGTTTAAGCTAGACGATCCAATGAACAGGCAGCATATTGAAACATTTACATATCCCTACATCACACATAAAATGTAAAGCCGATGGTCACACTCGCAGGAACACTTAGACACAATTGTAAAGGTGGTAAAATGAAGAGGAAATGTATCTCATGCCTTTAAACACTTACATTTTCATAATGTTCTTAAAACAGTTGTACGGTGCCATTTTGATGTTATTATTTATATTGCTCATACTGACCATGAAGAGATTCCGTCCTTTTACTTAAATACATGGGGGGCAATATCCACAGTCCTAGTTCTGTGCCGAAATGTATTCCAAGGTAATATTCTTTCAGCAGTATGAGTTAATCAAATCAAGGGAGTATCTTCAAGGTTATTGTCCTTTTTAGTGTGAAAATCCCTCTTAATATTACAATTACCTCAGCTACAGCTCTGTTTCTCCAAACACTGTTAGAAGTAACAGAAAGCAGGTGTTTTGTACTTTTAATTTGAAAGATACACACTTGATTTGACAAATGTAGATGTAAATGGTAAGGTAGCTGAATCCACATATTAACTTCATGCGAAATTGTGTATGCATTTTAACCCAAAATGAGTGCTGTGAATGTTGTCCCCCATCAATTACATCCAAATAGCATTAGCAAGGAATCTTTTCACTTTTGACTTGAAAGAATGATAACAGAAAGCAAAATATGCTTAAAAGTGTATACAGTGGGGCAAAAAAGTATTTAGTCAGCCACCAATTGTGCAAGTTCTCCCACTTAAAAAGATGAGAGAGGCCTGTAATTTTCATCCTAGGTACACTTCAACTATGAGAGACAGAATGGGGGGAAAGAATCCAGGAAATCACATTGTAGGATTTTTAATGAATGAATTGGTAAATTCCTCTGTAAAATAAGTATTTGGTCACCTACAAACAAATAAGATTTCTGGCTCTCACAGACCTGTAACTTCTTCTTTAAGAGCCTCCTCTGTCCTCCACTTGTTAACTGTATTAATGGCACCTGTTTGAACTCGTTATCAGTATAAAAGACACCTGTCCACAACCTCAAACAGTCACACTCCAAACTCCACTATGGCCAAGACCAAAGAGCTGTCAAAGGACACCAGAAACAAAATTGTAGACCTGCACCAGGCTGGGAAGACTGAATCTGCAATAGGTAAGCAGCTTGGTGTGAAGAAATCAACTGTGGGAGCAATTATTAGAAAATGGAAGACATACAAGACCACTGATAATCTCCCTCGATCTGGGGCTCCACGCAAGATCTCACCCCGTGGGGTCAAAATGATCACAAGAACGGTGAGCAAAAATCCCAGAACCACGCGGGGGGACCTAGTCAATGACCTGCAGAGAGCTGGGACCAAAGTAACAAAGGCTACCATCAGTAACACACTACGCCGCCAGGGACTCAAATCCTGCAGTGCCAGACGTGTCCCCCTGCTTAAGCCGGTACATGTCCAGGCCCGTCTGAAGTTTGCTAGAGAGCATTTAGATGATCCAGAAGAGGATTGGGAGAATGTCATATGGTCAGATGAAACCAAAATAGAACTTTTTGGTAAAAACTCAACTAGACGTGTTTGGAGGAGAAAGAATGCTGAGTTGCATCCAAAGAACACCATACCTACTGTGAAACATGGGGGTGGAAACATCATGCTTTGGGGCTGTTTTTCTGCAAAGGGACCAGGACGACTGATCCGTGTAAAGGAAAGAATGAATGGGGCCATGTATTGTGAGATTTTGAGTGACAACCTCCTTCCATCAGCAAGGGCATTGAAGATGAAACGTGGCTGGGTCTTTCAGCTTGACAATGATCCCAAACACACCGCTCGGGTAACGAAGGAGTGGCTTCGTATGAAGCATTTCAAGGTCCTGGAGTGGCCTAGCCAGTCTCCAGATCTCAACCCCATAGAAAATCTTTGGAGGGAGTTGAAAGTCCGTGTTGCCCAGCGACAGCCCCAAAACATCACTGCTCTATAGGAGATCTGCATGGAGGAATGGGCCAAAATACCAGCAACAGTGTGTGAAAACCTTGTGAAGAATTACAGAAAACGTTTGACCTCTGTCATTGCCAACAAAGGGTATATAACAAAGTATTGAGATGAACTTTTGTTATTGACCAAATACTTATTTTGCCCCACTGTATATGGGTACCTGATTACTGTTCAGACTTTAAAACCATTGTTAACAGTACACTATATATTTTTTTTAAGTTAAAACATATATGAATGTAACCATATTGCCAATATATATTTGTTTCTCTTTCAGAAAACCACGGCCTGTTTCTCAGCTGGTCACACAGCAAGCAAATCAGCAGTTTGCATCACCCACACTCCCCAAAAAGGAGAAAAAAGAAAAATCAGAGAAAGCCAAGAGTGATAAAGACCCAACACTGAAAAAGAAAAGCCATAAAAAAACGAGGTAATTTATTTTTAAAGGAAATAGTCAAATGGCTCATCTTAATAATCAGTGGTCTTTGCAACTGAGATATTTGTAATCCTCCAAAAACGTTTAAAAATTGTTTTTTGTATCTTTTTCCACACCAGGCCCCGGTTAAAAAACATCGACAGGAGCAGCGCCCAGCATCTAGAAGTCACAGTTGGAGACTTGACTGTAATAATCACAGACTTTAAGGAGAAAGCCAAACCCACGCCAACTTCAACAGGTGCTGCCTTAGCAGACCAACACAGTCAAAGTGGCTCCAGCTCTGATAACACTGAACGGGGGGTGTCCCGATGCTCTTCGCCCCACAGGGAAGCCTCACCGGTTAACGGAGAGACTCACTAACCTTCACACACCCCATTCTTCTGCACTCTCAACAGCCTCGAGCAGAGATTACAATTCAACATGCACGTTTTTTCGTTAAATACTTTAAATGCAAATATGATAGCATTCACTTCTGACGCTGTATTTTTCACTGCCATTCCACGATGATAAAGAATTCAGGAGGTGGGACGTGTGCTGTATGCTCAACTCAAAGAACTGTTGCAGCATGATGAACGGAGAAAAGGAACGGTAGCATTAAATCCTGGATGTCATTTGAACTGTGCCAAGTGTTACTTCAGCATCACACTGAGCTGGTTGTTGCTGCACAGAATAAATTATGCATTGTGAAAGAAAATATAAAATGTAATCTCAGAATTGTAGTTTATTTTTGAATTTTGTTATCGTAATTTGCACTTAATGGCATCCAATGTTCATGATAACATTTGTTAGCATTAATTCCTCTGTTTAATTTTCAGTAAATCATTACACTGTTGGTTACTGGCCTGATCCAGCTCCAGTTTATGCCATTGGATGCAATACTTTTTTTACTGTCTAACATTTGAGTTCAAATATTGAATAAGTATGCTTCTCGTTCACTTGGTAGAGCTAAGCATGATGTAATCTATAGCAGTGGTTCCCCACCTGGGGGGCGCGCCCCCCTTGGGGGGGCGCCAAAGATCGCAGGGGGGGTGCCAGGCCTCAGATGATTTGAGGCCAAATATCGTATTTAGACTTTTTTTAATTTATTTTTGTTTACATATAATTTTAAAGCAATACATGATTTTCACTAAAAGCATTGTCTCTACATTACAATCAAATATAAAAAAATAATTGATTAATTAATTTGAATAATAATTCAAGTTAGTAGCTATTAAAGGCATAAAAAAGACAGAAATGTATAATTCTTTCTTTAATAGAAATATTTCTTCTGCCCGTAAAGTGTCCAAACCAGGCTTTTCTGGATAATTTCTGGCGCATTTTTAAAACAGTCATTGTCCATGCCGGTTTCAGTTGGATTATTTGTCACAGTTGCTCCGATCAGATCGGTCTCCTCAGGAGTCATTTGGGGGGGTTCTTGGGAAAAAAGGTTGGGAACCACTGATCTATAGAATGGTTTATATTGTAAAATACTGTTAAATAAAATAAGTTCTAGATACTTGTATGTTATTATTTCAAGATGTTCTCCCTGCTACAATTGTTTTTTTTTAAAAATCATTTGTAAAACATTTGGATTTCTTTAAATGTTGCTTTACTGAAACTGAACTATTGACCTCAATAATTTGCTTTAGTGTCTCCATAATTAATGGATGGAAGTATTGAATTTGTTAACCTTTTTCACAGATTTACCGATATGTTCCATAAAGGCGAGAAATGAAAAATCAATGGACTTGGTATTTAACTTGTGTAGGCAGTTCAGGTCAATTAATGAGTTGCACCCACTTCACCATACTGTTTGTGTGAGTTATAATTATCTTTCATCATGTTCTTCAAACTGTGTCTTGAGAGGAAGGCCCTTGACAGAAATTATGAAAAGCAACTCATTTTATTTCTCACAGAATGTATATAAATAAAACCCTAAGATATTTGAGTATTTATACCAGATACTCTATACTTTACATTAGGCTTTCAGGTTAAATGTGAACATTTATTTGACAGCCAGGCATTTTCCATATTATTTTCCTTGTGACAAAATATGTGATCACTAATAAAACATGCATTGTTATAGGTTAAACAACCTAACTGCTCCAACATTCAACTGATGTCAACAAATCAGTAGTTCAGTACTCCAATGATACTTTTACTTTTGAAGACATAATGATACAACTGTTCTTTCATCCATAGACTGTATAACTCAGCAATAGTCAAAACTGTCAGTCGAATTAAAACGTGCATGTCAAGCTCACTAATATAATGGTAACCGAACAGAACGTTTGACAGGATCATAATTAACATTGTATATGCACCGAGCTCTAAGCATGGATGTACTAATTCCTAGTTACATGGCTGTCTACTGTACACCTGCTGTTCGCACACTGTAACATAACTGACAGATGACTGATCAAACGCCAAACACGTGTACCATATGTGGGTGGGGCGGAAAACTGTAAACACCGACCGTGCTCTTCGGTTTAGCTTATAGCTTCTGACTTGATTTATGATTAATTAGTTACCTGGTAGCACCTCAGATTGTAGCTAAAAATCCACAAAAATGTTCCGTTAGAGCATGCAAATTGAAACGCAAAATGCGATGCTATCTTCAGGCATTTCTCCTGTGCATGGTCTTCATTTTCTTTTCACTGGTGTATGTGTTCAACCAGCTAGCCTCCACCTTGGAGGACAGCGATGGCTGGGGCCTAAAAGAGCAGGGGATACCCGGCGGGCGCAGTCATGACGACGGCCACCTTCTCAGGAAAAGGCCAGGACTAGCAGGCCGAGACCATGAAGAAGGGCTTGACAGGTAGCTTAGCTAGCTAATCACTTAGCATTAATGAAGTGCATTAGTGAGCGCATAATAGAGCTATTAGTTAGCTTTAGCTACATTTGCACTTGGAATAAAGTTAGCGTGACTATAACCGAAATCATATGGTTACAATTACAAAGTTGAAAAGACTTCTAAATCTGACGTTAAGTCGTAAAAACTGGTTAGCAATTTAGCCTTAGCTGGATACATTGGAAATATAGCACGCGTACTCATCATGCTATTTTATAACTACGGTCTATAGCAGCGGTATGTGTTGACAATGTCTGTCTTGTATCTGAAATCTACCACCAGTTAGCTAGTTAGATAAGTGATTATCCTCTAACATTACTTGCAATTGCTAGCTAATTGATTGTATCCATCATTAGCTTTTTGCTGGATTTATAGAACGGCTACCTGTTAAACAATTAAACGTAGGTAGGAGGTAGATCTAATCCTATTATATACTGTCTATGATCTCATCCCAAAGTATGTTTGATTAATGTATCATTAAGGAAACAAAATATCATGTTTTCATTCTGTCAGGTGTAAATCATTGTCAGTTTCTTACTGGAATCCATATTGGAGACTGCCTGCTGATGTGTGTGGAGTGAACTGCTTATTGGAATCATCTCTTAGGTATGACTGGTTTTGAGCACCTCTTTAAAAAGCTTCCATTAGATTCTTTATAATTCGTAGACTTTAACTAACAACGTTCCCCTCCTTCCTAGGTACACATTTCAGAGTAAACACTGGGCCTATTGCTGCAATCAAAACTAGTAATGAGCTATAAGTCATAAATACAAGGAGTTGAGAGATCCAACATGCTGACAACCGAGTCCCTGACTACAATTGTCCATCATAGTTATGTATGTGGCCTTGCCATTTTATGACATATTGACAGAGATATGATTGAATATTGGCAGAGTGTTCTTTGAAATGTGTGCTAGTAGTAGTAATTAGTCGTTTACAAGGAGTGCTTGATGGCAACTAAAAGCACTGGCGATAGTCCTCATGTGAAGCCCTTCATTAAACAAAATGACATTTCCAATCCTACAGGGCTGAACAACAGTCAGCTGAGCCTGGTGATATCTACATTAGTTGTTCTCTCTCCTGCACCTGTCAGTGTAGCCATGCTGTTGTATGTACAAGTTGGGGTTGAGGATGACTGTTTTTTTTGTGTGTCTTGGTTCTTAGAGAGAGGTCCAGCTCTCCAGGAAAGCATCATAGTGATGAGAGAAGTCACGTGGCTGTGGTGGCCTGTGGCACCAGGTTAGAGGAGACTCTCACCATGTTGAAGTCTGCTGTTATCTTAAGCAAAAAGCCACTGCACTTTTACATCTTTGCTGAGGATGATCTACATGAGCCCTTCAAAAATGCTGTGAGTATCTTTTCCAAAAACAACACCAGAACTTTCATGTACTTTTGTATTAATTTTCAGATTTTTACAAAGTAATAGCAATAGCCCAGATATATCTAAATCTGTCTCAACAATGTCTTAAGCCTTTGTCTTCTGGTGTAAAGAGAAGCACACTAAAGCATTATTGCAACCATTACTTTTTGGCATAAAAGCAAAACCCTTTTTATCAAGATAACTAGTTAAGTACATGTTTTAAATGGGAATATTTGTCGATTACAATCTTTCTTTGTGCATATCTTTTCTTAAAGCTGGACTCCTGGCCCAGGACAGCTCAGACCAAGTTTAACTTCACCATCTACCCTATCACTTTTCCTGAGGAGAATGCAAAGGAGTGGAAGAAGCTCTTCAAACCTTGTGCCTCTCAGAGACTCTTCCTGCCTGTACATCTAAGCTAATCCTTCATGCTTATAACTATTACCCATTTGCTAAATGTTTTCACAAATGTTTTTCTGGTCTGTTTTCCAGCTGATCCTGAAGGAGGTGGATTCTTTGCTCTATGTGGACACGGATATCATTTTTTTGCAGCCAGTAGAGGATATCTGGGCTCTTCTTTCTCAGTTCGATTCCAGTCACTTAGCTGCCATGGCTCCGGAGCACGAGGAGCCACGCATCGGATGGTACAACCGTTTTGCCCGACACCCTTACTATGGCAAGACAGGCATCAACTCAGGAGTCATGCTCATGAACATGACGCGCCTCAGGGAGAAATCTTTTAAGGTAGGTGTAGATTTTTGGCTACTGTCAGCTTTTGCCATGTGCTGTTGCCAATGTATTGTACCAGTATTTGGAGTAATATGCTGTTTTTATCCAGTCATATTAAATCAACACTTTTACATACAGTTATCATTGAAGGGTCTGGGGATATTTGAAATGTAGACATTGAAAAATAGAATACTAAAGGGGTCTTTAGCTTCAGCTGAACAACCAAGATTGACCAGCAGAGGTCACTCTTGTTGTTCCTTTGTAAACCATCACAATAAGCATGTATTTTTACTTCTAGAATGACATGACAACAGTTCCACTGAAGTGGGAGGAAATTCTGATGCCCCTTCTCCAGAAGTATAAACTCAATATCACTTGGGGTGACCAGGATCTTCTTAACATCATCTTTCACCATAACCCAGGTTTGTGCAATTACATATAAAACATTATTTCTAGTCATGAAAGTTATGTTGTTTCAGGAAACAAACAAGTCTTTACTTAAGTGTGTTGTTTTGGATATTTAAATTGAAATATACAAGTATATGTGAGGGTTTATAATAGGCTCTAATTGGATAAACCCAGTTTAAACAAATCATTCAGTTATCTCTGTATGGGCCACAGGTTTGACTCCCTGCTGTACTCGTTCTCAGAGCCTCCTTATTTCCAGTTGAAACACCAACAATACTAATAATAATAATTTTCTTAGTTATGTTCTCTGTATTTTATATGTTTGTGTTATGTGTAACGTTGCTGCCTTCTTGGCCAGGTCAGCATTGTAAATGAGATTTTATCTCAATGCTTTTTATCTGGTTAAATAAAGGAAAGAAGAAAAGAAGAATTCACAGTCCTCATCAATAAAATAAAGTTCTCCTACTTTTTACAGAAAGCCTCTATTTGTTCCCCTGCCAGTGGAACTACCGTCCAGACCACTGTATCTATGGCAGCAACTGTCAACAGGCTGATCAAGAAGGTGTCTTCATTCTCCATGGTAACAGGGGAGTTTACCATAATGAAAAGCAGCCTGCATTTCGAGCCGTCTATGAGGCCATCCAAAAGGTAGATACGGCCTCTCTGAGCCCCTACAGTAAATGACACAACTTGTGGTTTCTTATTTGTTAACAATCTCCACATTTTGCAAAGGATTCCTG